TATCTTTGAACCGCAAAACGGTTAAGACCAAGACAAGCTCGATGGGCCTTATTCTTTTCAAGGTTCAATTTTCATCTAACATACTGTCCAGGGTCTAAAAACGGGAAAGCAGATGCCCTGTACCGTATGTTCCCAGACACTCCTCAAACAGCTGCTCCCAGTACTTTTTTATCTCCACATAATTTCCTACTCATTCAGCCTAATCTAAAAGAAGCAATTAAACAAGCTTCACTTTCATATGCCGGGTCTGAGAGGTTATCCTTAAGGAAGCAAGAGGATTTCTTGTGGCATGAGGACAAGATCTTCATTCCCCAAGAAGTCAGGCCACAAATACTTAAGACATGCAATGACCGCTTGCTTGCAGGTCACTTCAGGGTACGGAAAACAACTGAACTTGTCCAAAGATCCTTTTGGCCCAACCTGAGACAGGACTGTAAAGAGTATGTTAACTCCTGCGCAACTTGTCTACGCAATAAGGGCAGCCATACCAGAGCCTGGGGCTTGCTGAGACCCATGCCAGTTCCTGAACAGCCTTGGAAGATGATTTCTATGGACTTTATTGTGGACTTACTTCCCTCTGAGGGATTCATCCTGGTGGTAGTGGATAGACTGTCCAAAATGGCGGGTACTCCTTCTGCTACTGAAACTGCTCAAACATTTATTAAGGCAATAGTGAGACTACACAGGATACCCAACAATATAGTTTCTGACAGGGGGGTACAATTTACATCCAAATTTTGGAGATCTTTCTACAAAACCCTTAATATCAAAGTATGTCTCTCTTCTGCTTATCATCCACAGAGTAATGGGCAAACGGAGAGGACTAACCAAACTTTGAAGCAATACCTAAGATGCTTCTCCACCTTCTCTCAGGATAACTGGGCATCTCTTCTTCCCTGTGCAGAATTCACCTACAACAACTCTGTCCATGCTTCCACCAACCAGTCTCCTTTCTGGCAAATTATGGTTTTCACCCTTCCTTCGTTCCGGATGCAATTCCAGAAGCATCAGTACCTGTAGTCCAGGACAGGTTAACTTTCATACAATCCAATTACCAGATACTCCAGAAGATCATGCAAAAAGCTCAGGAGGATTACAAGAAACAGTTTGATAAAAGGAGGAGAGGTAACCCTGGGTGGAAGCTGGGAGACAAAGTGTATCTTGCTACTACCAATCTCAAACTTGCTTGCCCTTCACGAAAACTAGGTCCCAGATTCATTGGACCCTTTAAAATCAAAAGGGAGATTAACCCTGTGGCCTTTGAACTGGACTTACCCGACTCTTATAAGATTCACTCGGTCTTCCATGTTTCTCTACTCAAACCAGCCGTAATGTGCTCTATCCCTGGAAGAGAGGAACCGCCCCCACCGCCAGTCATGGTAGGGGAAGTCATCGAGTTTGAAGTTGAAACCATCTCAGATGGACGGAAAAGGGGAGACAGATTCAATATCTGGTTAAATGGAAAGGGTATCCACCGGAGGATAGTGCCTGGGAGCAAGCAAGAAATGTGCATGCTCCTAAGCTGCTTCAAGAATTTTTGAACATATTCCCTGAAAAATTAGCCCGCCTGGGCATCCGGAGGTTGCCCCTAGGGAGAGGGCACTGTCAGAGGAAAAGATGTGGAACCCCGGGCAAATGCACAATATGGCCACTCCAATTCGTGCAAAGAAGTGCGCATGCGCATAGGTGGGCGACACGTAATCATGCATTCCTGTGCACGAAAAAGCACCGACACACGCAGGGTGCACTAATTGCTGACACTCAGTGGGCTTTATAAGGACTGCAGATCTGCTCAGTGATTGCTGGATTATCGTCATCCCCTCCCATTCCTGTGTTCCTGAGTTTACTGCTGATTACCCATTACTGACCCGGCTTGATCCTGACCTTGTTCCTGTCTGCTGCTCTGTGTATGATCCTGGCTTGATCCTGACCTTGTTCCTGTTTGCTGCTCTGTGTATGACCCCGGCTTGATCCTGACCTCGCTCCTGTCTGCTGCTACTGTGTATGACCCTGGCTTGATCCTGACGTTGCTCTTGTCTGCTGTTCCATATTGATCCTGGCTCTGGCTACTGACTACTCTACTCATCCTCTGGGATCCAGGTGCTCTCTGGAGAAACTCCTCCTGCAACTGGAGCACCCATGGGTTCCACCTAATCAGGCATTTCCAAGCAGCAACACCACTGGCAACCTGTACTTCTTTGGGCACTGCACCTCCTGTTTCCACCTCCAGGGGTGCACTGCATTTAGCTGTAAGGGGAGCCCTCTCTCTATTGCAGCCTCCAGTCAGGTACATGACATGTTCTGTGCACTGTCATAACTTCTCACTTCTCTTCTGCAGATACTATCTGCTATCATACCCTCTGCACTCCTCTCCTGCACTTATTACCTGCTGTCCCACCTCACACACTCCTCTCCAGCATATTGCCTGCTGTCATACCCTCTACATTCCTCCCCTGCAAAAACTGTCTACCATCATATCCCCCTTACTCTTTTTTGTACACTTACTTCTCACTGCCATACCCTAAGCACTCCTCTCCTATACATATGGCTCAACGCAACTGGCTTAACTTTGTCTGTTCTGGAAAAGGCAAACGTTTGCTAGTACAAATGATAGGAAGCAATCTTTATTTTTTCTTTTGAAAACATAGTGCTTTACTTGGAATTTTTAGTGCATCAATACTACTGTGCCCTACATTATTTCTTGGAAATAAACTTAAGGGTTGGCGAATTTTAACCTTTAGTACTTAGAGATCTAGAGTCTTGATTGTTCAAGGGAAGAAATAGTAACTTATAGTTATTTTGCCCAATTTTGTTTCCAAAATGTGATATCCTTATGACATTTAGAAAATTATTATTATTATCCAAGTAACTCAGTGAATTGTAACATTTGTCACAGCTATGAGTGTGGTGAAGCAAACCAAATGCTTGAGTGCACTGTGTTATATTTTCTTCAAATCATATTTCCACATTATTGACTTCAAAGTTATGTTTGTGAATGAAAGGTTTATGCTTTATGGCTGAACATCAGACATGTTTGATGTGATAATGTCTTTTTTTGTGGTGCTTGCATCTCTAGGGCATTGGCAAGCTGGGCTCAAATGCTTCCCCTTGAAATACATTCACTAACAGCTATAAATCTAAGAAGAAAGGATTGTTTTTCCTAGTTCTGAGTAAAGGGTTAGTCATATATTCAGCTGTGACTCTATCCAATGAAATTCTTGAAGTCTTTTGCCCCATGTAGTTACTACTAATGCTTTGAAATACAGACAGACAAGTTGTCAGTGTTCTTTTAACAGTAGTATTCCACTTAAATGAGCAATTAATAATTCTATTGGAATAATGTTTAACATCACTAGAAGCAAATACTTCAAAGTGTGCACTTTGTTAGTGAAATGTTTAAAAAAGAACATGTTAAAAACATTCTAAACTCACTTCAAGATGTAGCATCAAAGTTATCATTGTTCCTCCTGTAAGTGAAATGTGTATAAGGACAGTTGCTTATGCAATGGAACCTGCTGCTGTAGGGAGGGTTCAGAGGGGGCTTCTCTTTTAGGCTAGTTTCACAATATTATGTTTGGCAATGTTAACTGCATTGGCATGCTGAGGTGCCATTCATTTTGAATGGCATCCCAACCAGGGGCGGACTGACCATTCGGAAACTCGGGCACTGCCCTACGGCCCGGGGTCAGTAGGGGACCCCATGAGATGCCCCTGGTACCTTTTTCATAGGCTTTTTTGAGTTTGGGCAAGGACACAGGGGCCCCATGATCCCCTATTGCCCGGGGGCCCCATGAGTTGTCAGTCCACCCCTGATCCCAACACACTAAGGTAATGCACCTGCGCTGTATTCCAAAAAAAGGGCCTGGAACAGTTTTAGCTAAGCTCTTTTCAAATCGAATTGACTGCTTTAACATTGTCAAGTGATGTAGTACGTGTTCACATGAATTTGCTAATGCATTGGAAAATTGTGAAACCAGTTTAAAACATTCCTGGCATCAAAACCTGGAAGGTTTCTGACAAGCTGAATTCGGAATTGTTGCCGCTACATGACTAGGGATGAGAGGAGGAATTTCACTGTAGTTGATTTCACCATGGTCTTGTTGAGCTACCTAGGAAAAATTGGCTTTATACAATTATCTTTTTATTTATTTAATTTAGAGGGCAAACTTTATGTACTGTGTAGCATAGTTTAGTTTATTTAACATAGGGCCTATTCACACCGTTCCATGTATACCCAAGCATGCATTAACACAAATGTTGTTTTTAGTTGCACATTTACAGGTATTCTCTTTGAATGGGCATTCAACACTCAACATGTAAAACAACATTCCTGCTCTATTGCTTGCAATGCTGTGCACCACTGTGCACAGAACCTTCACAACTGTGCATTGTGCATCATTGTAGAACAGGTCTTTTTTTTTTTACTGTAAATGTACATTGTGGTGCCAATTAAAACTAATGACAATGTACTGTACATATACTGTACCATGCGTTACCATGTTCTGTGTTAATGCATGTTTTTTCTTTTCCTTTTTGAGTGTATTTGTATTTATTTTACTTTTTTACTATTTACTGTTTTTCCTTTTGTAAAATGCTAAGGCAACTGAAAGGCCAAATTTGGCACAAGGATAAGTCCTTAATATTTGAGAGGAATGACCGTAACCATAAGAAGACAATTAAAGCCCATGGTACTTTTAAAACCCCTTAATTTCCTCGTCACCACTTCATCAAAATGGTGACATTTTTCAGAAAGCCTACTATTTTTTGAGAGATTTTAGGAAAATGAAAACTGAGTTTCACTCATTGCTACACATGACAATGCTTTTAACCATTGTTATGGCAAAGCAAATATTTTGTTATATGTTGTAAATCTGTTCTAATATTGGCACACAAACTTTTAGATAAACTGCAGAATGTTCTAGTATTGTGGCTTTCCAAGTACAGAGAGTTTGTTAAATTACAGTGATAATGTATTTAATAATATACTATGTGTAAATATATATATATAGAGGGGCGGACTGACCATTTGGAAACTCAGGCACTGCCTGAGGGCCTGGGGTCAGTAGTAGGGGGCCCCATGATATGCCCCTGGTACCTTTTTCATAGGCTTTTTTTAGTTTGGGCAAGGACACAGGGGCCCCATGATCCCCTATTGCCCGGGGGCCCCATGAGTTGTCAGTCCACCCCGTATATATATATATATATATATATATATATATATATATATATATATATATATATATATATGGTGCAGCTCTGCATAGAAACCAATCAGCTTCCAGGTTTTAGTGTCAAAGCTAAATTGAACAAGCTGAAGTTAGAAGCTGATTGCCTACCAGCCACAGCTACACCAGATTTTGCACTCTCCAGTTTTAGTAAGTCTCAGTATGTCACAGCGAAATACATCCATTACAATGGATGACTTCAAGCTATAACTTCACAATTTTCCTCCTGTCTACAGTCCTAAAGCAAATATCCACGCATAGCCATTGCATTTAACATTAGATGGAGCTAACATTGGCTTAAGGATGTTTCCCCTGTCATGGTAATTTAGACATGCTTTGTATTGAAGCTGACCATGTTCTAAAGATGTCAGTTTTGGGCTGTGTGCCGTGTGAAAAATTATATTTTATAATTTTATAAAGGTACTTTGCACTGGTCTGTCATTAAATGCAGCAGAACAATTTCTTCTAGTGAGTAGTACAGTATCAATCTGCTACAGTTACAGTCTGTAGACCATATCAACAATAGTTATCCAAAGGAATAGTTGAAACATCATTTACAGACCAGTTGAATATTAGATGGAGCCTTTGTATAATTCTTTGGATAACAATTTTCTTTCTTATTTTAAAGGATCAGACAACTTGTTGAAAAATGTCTGAGGGCAATAAAGAGTGCTCTCAATGTTGGATTCACTAGTTATCATCTTCATGGGGTAACCTTAAATGACCCAGTTCTTATCTCAGTATCATATTGTGGTCTTGGTTTGCAGGTGGGAGAGGGGACTTTTAAGATGTATTGCAAAAATGCTAAACGTACACATTAAAGGGTGTATTTAATAACATTTGCTAGCAAATATTTTATAAAGCATATTCATCTCCTAGTCATTTGCTGTATTTACAATTCATTAAATGTGACAGCTCCAAAAAATCAGGCAAATGTTTATAGTATAACTGTTTTTTTTTTAGCAGCTAAGGTCAGGCCAAGAATTGGCACATCTAGAACCCTTCATTGTGCTGAAATTGTGTGCGTGTTTTGAGGAGTTAAAGTGGTTGTAAAGGCTAAAGGTTTTTTTACGTTCATGCATTCTATGCAGGAGGATAAAAAACCCTTCAGAGCCCCATCTCGATCCAGTGCTGTGCATGAGAGCAGAGGCTCTCCCGGGTCTCTCTTCTCATTGGCTGAGACATAGCAGTGGGAGCAATTGGCTCCCACTGCTGTCAATCACAGCTAATGATAAGGGAGCAGGGAGTAAGGTGTCCCACATAGTGGGGTTTGGGTGAAAGCATGCATGAGTACCCCCAGAGCAAGCTGCTGACACCAGGGCTCTTATGCCAATGTGGGTATAAAATATAGTGTTCAGTCTGTTCTAGGCATTCACTTCAATGGTTTTCCGTGAAAATCCCTGCATTTTGCTGATAGAGTGATAGAAGCATAGCCTGCACACAGGCACTAGATGTGTTTGCAGTAACCCTTTCGTCGCCAGGTCCTGATAGAGGGGGGGTTTTTATATATAATCTGGTGGCTGCAGCCACCAGGATTGTGTAAAAACTGACAGGCAGACTCCTGTCTGTTAGGTGGAAGCAGTCAGGTGGCTGTGCCCCCCCCCCCATGTATCTGAGTCCCACTTGCCCATCTGCAGGCCCCAGGAGTGCCATGGTGGGTGCTGGCAGGTGGAGGGGAGAAAGGAGAGCGAATGAACATCTGCTCTCCTCACCTTCTTTCTGTGACCCAGAAGGCGATATGCGTGACGTCACTTCTGGGTCACCGCTGTCACTTTCTCGGCTAGCACAGCCGAGAAGAAATGTAGTGCAATGCGGTCCACATTGCAATGCATTGATTGGAGGTCAGAGAAGACATGCAGGGTCTAAAAGACCCTGCATGTCTTTATAAAGAGAACCGTCACCTAAAAATCATCACATAGGGGCCTTTATGTCCCCTACGTGATGAAAAAAAAGTTAAGTAACAAAAAAGTTATTTTTTTTGCAAGACAAATAGAGTTACACCCAAGCACATAACATTCTCCCCCCCCCCCAAAAAAAAAAAATTGTGAGACTCCCCACCTCCAGATATACACATGTACAAATATAAACTCACGCATAAGGGCTCCTGTGCATGAAAATGTTGATTGTGATACAAATGGCCGCGCACGCCAGAGCGAGAGTAATAATTCTAGCACAAGACCTTCTTCGTAATGCTAAACTGATTACCTATAGGGGTTTTTGAAGCGTCGCCTATAGAAAATATAGAGTACTGAAGTTTGTCACCATTTTATAGGCACACACAAATTTAACATTTGACGTGTTGGATATCTATTTACTCGTTACAACCTTTTATTTAATATTTTACCAAAAATGTGGGTAATTTATTGCGTTTGTTTGTCCTAAAATTCACTTTAGTGTGTTTTTTACTGAAATTTTGCATTTCCTAGATCTTTGCGGTAATATTGTCTGACATAGAAAGTTGGACCTGTCATTATTTTATTCTATAGGGTGTCCAATTTCAGAAAATACATAATGTTTTGGGGGGGTTGTGTAATCTTTAGGCCTAAAATTATTTTTTTAATGTGTGCAAAAAATTAGCAAAAACGGCTCTGGCAGTGAAAAGGTTAAAACTTCTGTGTGACTGTAGCTATTCAACAATATTACAACTTCCCAACAGATTAGATCTATTTTTGTGAGATAGTAGTATCCTCAGATTATTTTTTGCAACACTTTATATACACCAGATCCTGCAGATAATTGAACTAAAAACAACCTTTCTGTGTAAAGGTTTCATAGCCGTCACCAGAGATGAAGCTCAGGCTTACCACTACTATGGGTTCAAGATGAATTCTGAAGGTTTGAGATTTATGATCCTGGCAAATATATGTGAATATTTGTCTGGGAGAATTTTTTGAAATGATAATGGCATGGCCTTTGAAATATAGTCAGCAGGCTTAGAAGGGCCAATAAAGGTGCCTTTGGATAAGTCAATTTCCTCACTATAAAAAGTTTAAGGGGGAGGGGCAGGGCAAGGATAGGGAAAGCTGGCAAACAGAATGGGGAGAGATTAGAGTAAGCAAAGCTGGGTACACATGGGCCAAAAACAGTTGATTTGGCATGAGCCAGAGGCCTTTTGGCCAGTGTACAGCTGTCTTTTGTATAGAGAACTCTCTGGGTTGAATGAAAAGAATACTGTATACCCAGCTTTAGAAAATGGTACTTTAACCTCCTAGCCGGTATTCCCGAGTGTAGCTCGGGGTAAAGTTTCAGTACCACAAGTGATAACCCCGAGCTACACTTGGGCTTACCATGCGGATCTGTTCTTCCCTTACCTTGTCCTGCACTCCCGCAATGTCCCTCATGCAGTGTCCCCTGTAATGTCCTCCAGTGTATGTCGGCATCTGTCTTCTGGGTTCCATCCCCTGCGACGTCAGGACATACGGGGACGGAACGGCGGGAAATTTGAAAATGACAAAAAGTGACATTCACTAAATTCACTAAAATCACATAGTAAAACATTACTGTATCAAACCATTTCACATACATTTTGTCCCGAGTGCTTTGTTCGGTGCCCTGCCTGCATTTTTACTGTTCTTTCTGCCTTTAAACTGAGAAGCGTCAATGGCGTCCAAAAAGTGTCCCTTTAGGTCAAAATCGATTTTAGACCGGCTAGAGAACAGCGATAGTAAATTAGAACTACTTGCAGAATTGAGTGATAATGATTCGTGGGGAAATTCGTCATCAGACACTGAAAACGATTTTGCAACTTTGGTCAGTGATGTGCAAACTTGGCGCTATATTTCAAATTTCAGTGTTTTTGGTTTGATTATATTATTGAATTAAATTTATTATTATTATATTATTATTTTTTTATGATTATTTATTCAATTATAATTTATGATTTTGTGTTTCAAATTTTAACATCCCCGGGATGTTTACTAGACTCTTGTTAGGACAGATTTCAGTGAGTTATTCCTAAAAATTACAGGCCTACAATGAAAAAAATACATATTTCCATGCAAAAAAAATGTACCGCTTTGAGCACAGAAATATAGTATAGGCATAATCAGACCGCTAGGGAGGTTAATTCTAATTGCTTGCTCTTTGAGCAATCAACCATTGTTACTTTTTTATTCCTATTATTGGTGAGTTTTTTTTTTCATTCTGTGGTTGATTTCAGGTCAACATTTATTTTCTGCTGTGCTGTTTTCTGCAATGGTTTTCTCAAATGGGCTTTAGTTCTAGGGAGTATTATTTTGGAGTTTTATTTACTTTGAGGAGTATGTTTTTTTATTGTATGTTACTAAGGCTTTTTTACAGGTTAAACTGCTTTTTTTTAGCAGCATGGCTTTCCTTAAAAAAAAGTGAGCTTTTGTTTGTTTTGGGGGGAGGTGTTTTGGGGTTTTCATTTCTTTTGTTTTTTCTTTTTTTTTCCATTATTTCATGTTTATAGGGCATTTATTATGTCTGGGGTGCTTGAAGTGCAGCATTCACTTACTGAATTTCTGTTCTTGGAGCTTCCTTTTATTTGCAGTACACAGCTACATTGTTTGAAATAAAACAAAAACTAAGTGCAAGAACAGTGTGCACCTAAACTGCCTGACAATAGAATCTCTCACATTCAGTGCACCACCCATTCCCATAAGTAATTTAATAAAAATTAGACATACACTGGTTAGGTCTATTAACTATTACTATAAAACTTTCCTGCTAATAGCCAACTTTACAGTGTTGTATCCTCTGCAACATCTTAATTGTGTAGTAAAGCATCAGCTTGTGTTATTTCTCTTTAGTAAATTTGGGCCTAGACCTACTGTTTAAAATTGTCCAGCTGCTAACCAATTTGATAGTGCTATATCATCTGTGGTCCCTCAATTCTTGTAGTAAAACACCTACATGTACTTTTTTTCTCTAGTACATTCCAGTTTCCCCTCATTAAGTATGTCTTGCTGTTGGCTAATTTTTTTTTACACTTCAGGGATA